AGCAGGTCGAGGCTGCGGTGGCCGGGAGCGGCCACTGCACTCCAGTCTGGGTGAGAGTGAAACTGCAACTCAAAAAAAAAAAGAACTAATGAGCCAGGCATAGTGGCTCACGTCTCTAATCCCAGCACTTTTAGAGGCAGAGGCGAGAGAATTGCCTGAGCTCAGGGGTTCCAGATCAGCCTGAGCAACATGGTGAGACCTGGTCTCAAAAAGTCAGCCGGGCGTGGTGGGGTATGCCTGTGGTTCCAGCTACTTGGAGGCTGAGGCGGAAGGATCACCTGAGTTCAGCAGGTAGAGGCTGCGGTGGCCGTGAGCATGCTACTGCACTACATCTTGGGCGACAGAGTGAGTCAGACTAAAAAAAACAAAAAACCAAAAAACCAATGGTCATCTCCTTAGGATTCCCCTTTGTACCCTAGTCCTTATTTCTAACATATCTTCAGCCCAACTCTGCATTTCTATGTTTGTCTGTCCTTTCCCCAATATATTAAAAATTCCTTGAGATCAAGGACTGTGTCTTTTCTTTGAATTCCTAGCATTTATCACAGTGATTGGAACATGGGGGTGGCCAAATAAACACTTGTTAAATAGCTAAACACATATGATTCGAATTCTGTACTAGTTTACTCACTTCTACCTAAACTTTACTTATCTTAGTTCAAGAATCCAAGGTTTCCCCGCTACTACCCTTACTCCATGACAAGTTTTTCCATTTTAAATTTCCTCAGCATTTAGGTATCAGAATTTCAAGGCAAGAACCATGACTCTTAAACATCCTATAGCACAGAGTTAAAAGATGCTTACAAGTCAATACAAGCGGGCGCGGACAGTAAAGCTCAGCGCGTGCGCACGGGGCACATTTTTGCCTTTCGACTCCTCCTTTTTTTTTTTTAATCCCCCCCTTTGGAGCGTGCGCATCAAGAAAGACAAAGGTGGGGAAAGTGACCAAGCAGTCGTTCGGGCGCATGCCCATCTCTAATTTGTCCGAGCGCGATGGGGCTCACAGTGGTGGAGTGGGTGTGGCCTGACCAGAGCGGCAGAAGGCCAATCCGACTGAGTGAGCCCGGTCCCTCCCTCCCCGTAATTGGCTAACTCTCAGTGTTGTGGGGCGGGGAAAGGAAGAGATGAGGCGGAGGAGTGGTGGGGTTGGCGAAGAAAGAGAGTCAATCTCGTTCTGCGCAAGCGCGAGTAAGCGACCGGCAGGGGGCGTGAGAGAGTGAAAGGGAATGTGGAAGCCCTGTAGTGCTTGCGAGCGCGAGCTGGGTCGCCAGCCTTGACGCCTGCGCTGTGGCCCTCGGGGCCCCGCGCGCGGCGGGCGGGTGCCCGGTGCGCCT